GGCCTGGCCTGTGTGTGTATCCCTTATTATGTTCCTTATTTTTCTATGAAAACCCACGATTGTCCCTTATTTTCCTTTTCTGAACTTGGCAACCCTACTAGCAGTATATTGTCTTTTTCCGGATCGGATTTAGCGTAGCCTTTTCACTTTCTCATGCCACGTAAAACGTAAACACGTCAGACATTTTTGTAGAAAACATAATAAATGTCTTTGCAGAAACAAGCGCGTGTTGTTGCAAACTGTCAAAGTCAAGCGGAAAAAGACAATATACTGCTAGTATACTCACCTCTTTGAGTGTTGAAACCAGCGGAGATGGCAGCACGGTATAAAGTTGCACATTCCAGCTTCCTGCGTTTCTGATTCTGCCTCATAAAACGAAATCCAACGACATCCATAATAATCCAGCGCGACGGCAACATGCTGTCATGTCGTAAGACAATATCTGTACTGCAAACCGTATTGCTGTTATTGTTGTTTTTAGTGTAGGCATAGCAATGCAACAGCATTGCCATAGTAACCAACGCACATTCAGTAAAACGAAAGAGCGCTTATGGACACACAAATCGGATATGAGGGGGTGCGACACACTGTGTGGACAGTCAGTTATTCAAATCAGATTCCATCCGGATATGCACAAAATCGGATTTGGGCTGACAGTCTGAACGAGGCTAAAGTAGCTCGAAACAGATTTGCAAAAATCTGATTTCATGTAGTTCGTTGCCATTCAGACTATTTAAATATGATCGGATTTCAATCGGATTTGCACAAAAATCGGATTTGGGCTGACAGTCTGAACAAGGCTTAAGTCCATTTAAGGCAAGCCATGTCACTCGGCGGCCATCTTTAAAATGCCTCTAAGGGCATGCAAGTGCAGCTCCTATCACTTTGTATGGGGAAACATCAAATTCTCCCAAACTGTTCACAAAACTTACGATTAAGTTTCATCTTTGAAATCTGACAACAACTGTGTCATAAATGTTAGGTGCATCTCAAATCGTGTACGTATGCACTATTCTATGATGTTTTGTAGCATAAATAGTGCTAGTAGTGCGTTCACACTGAAAATTCCAAAAAGAAAAAGTGCACTTTAAATACCCGTATGATGCACTTAAATACCAGAAAAAACGAAGTGTGGAATGTTGGACACTTCATGCACTCAACTGTCGCAGCTTTAATTACATCGAGAAGGGGGAGGGGCTATCAAACAAAATAACCTTATATAATTCATACACTACATGGTTGAGTACATAGTGTATGAGTGCATAGTGTATAGTGCGTCATTTGGGACGCAGCTGTTGTTTCTTTTGCTCAAATAGTGTTATAAAAAGCTTATTTCTCAGGCTAGATCAGCCAGTGCGCATACGCAGTCCTAGGCGCACATCTCAGAACGCTGACTGTTTCTATAGCAACCGGGACTTCTAACGGCAGCTGTGACGCGCTGACTTTACCGATTCGCTCTTTCATTCAGAAGGTGGGGCTTTCTGTGATTGAGCGGCCATATTAAGCGTTGCATTTTTCCCCATTCAAAACTATACGAGTGACACGTCTTGGGTGTTCTATGATCTTTGTTGTGTTGAAGCAACACGCCTCTGGCAACCTTAGTGTAATTTACTGTTATTCAAATGTGAACTAAGCCATTATATGAAATAGCTAAACATTTAAGTAAACATTTTCAAGTGTGACCTCTTTGACCCCACCAATTGTTTTGAAACCAGCAACTAGTGATGGGAGAAACAAAGCTTTTCGAAACATTGAATCAAATGAACCAATTGCTTCGAAAAATGATTTGATGTTTCGAAGCACTTGAAACAGCACATGCTGGTGACACCTGCTGGTGAAAACGTTGTGAAAGCATCAAGAACTCAGACCAAACTTACAAAACAAATGGAAATGTTTTTTTAGAAAAAATTTTTTTTTAAATAAATAATAAAATATTAGTGCTTGGGTTATGTGTTTTATTTAAGTATAATCAAACCCTTAACACACAACTAAATTAATTATTTAATTAATTAATTGATTTATGTAATTATTTAATTAATTAAGTGTTTTCATTAGAGCTGTCTATAAAAATCAGCAGGCAAGAGAAGTGTTATAAGTCAGGAGAAGGAGGTGGATTTAATTATATGGTAAGCTCATTTTTTTATTTTTAAGGTATGATGTGATTTGTAGGTTGAAAGGACTGAATGATTTTACACATTTTTAAACTATATAGCCATCTGTGTTAAAGGGAAGTTATCTTTTGTTTAACCCACAACACCTGGCCCTGAATTCTTTATTTTTTATAGTAAAATTTCATGGGATTTCATGTCACATGATTAGCTGGGTAACCAGAAGTGGTTCATTGGTTCACTTTGAGATCAACACCCCCTAGTGGTGAACCATCGGAGTTTCAAAACGTTTCAAAACAGTGTGACGTAACGGAGCTTTGTTTGCTAAAATCACGTGACCTGGCCGGTTTGATACGCGCTCTGAAACACCGATTCGAAACAAAAGATTCGCAAATGTTTCGAAGCTTCGTGAAGCAGAGTTTCGAACGTGCCCATCACTACCTGGAACAGCATTCTTTTTTATTAACCGGCCACGGCAACATTTAGACTGTCCAATTAAACAGCAGTAAACATCTTGAATAAGACGGCTGCTTGACTTTAAAGTTCCTTTACAGCAGTCGGAGCCCATTTTAATTACATGTCTTATCTTTGTCAGCTCAGTCTCTCTTGTTTTCCTAAAACACCTCCTCCGTTTAATTGGATGTGATGTCTAACCCTCATTAGGTGATTGTAGCCGTATAAAGAGCGATCATGTGTCATTATTAGACCAACTTAGAGAAGTACAGTGACAGATCATGCTGAGCAAAGAGCCTCACATACATACACGCACATAAACAGACCTACAGCCAGGCCTTTGCTTGTTTTGAAAGACTCATTTCTTTTTAGCACATCCGTCATTTTCGCAGCATCGTTTTTTTTCCCCTCTGAACCAAGACCAATTTCAAAACTGGTATTTAAGGTTATGGTTTTAGACAAACTGACCCTAGATGAGGGCAGAAGGACAGCTTCCCTCCAGTGCATTATTTCTCAACTTCAATAGCCCTATGATGAAAGCTAGAAGTGAAAACCGACGGACCTGTTCTCGACTAGCAGTTAAAAATCCACGTGGGGGAGGGGTGGATACCGCAGGGAAGTGAGCGCGCCTTCATCCGAACTGCGGCTCTCAATATCCCATCTGCATTACAATGAGGTTATGGTTCTTCAGCGAACACAATCATCAAACATCTCTCTCTTGGTATTCTTCTGCTTGCTCTCACACATTCTTCCAGTAAACACACCAATCCAAACATGGCAAGAAAAATTATCCTGTTTAGCAGCAAATTAAGTAGCATCAGGTCATTGCGGAGTAAATCATCACCTCAAGGAGACCGTAAAGGTCAGGATCACCGATGGAGGAGGGTACATGATGCTTGGGAACTTACAGAGCCTTTCTTACACAACCGACCACTTAAAACCCCCAGGCTCTTCAAAGACATTTAACTTGAATTGAATGAATTTTACCTTTTCCCTGATTCAACTCTTCTCGAATCTTCTTCACTGCTGCCAGACCCTCATGTTCTTCATTCCCAGCTGAAGAAGAGAAAAAAAAGATAGAAAAGGACCATATTAAGCATACTAATAAATATCACACTCTCATATATTATATATATATATATATACATACAGTATATGGCCAATGTAGAATGTATATTAGCGAATCAGTAAAAGCACAAATGAATATCAAGATAAATCTGCTTTCTAAGTGGATTCCCCTTTATTTGCTCAAGGCGCATTTAGTAGTTTGGTGCTAATTTAAAAAGTTTGAAACAAGGGTAAGTTCACCCAAAAAAGACAATTCTGTCATTAATTAGGCTATGCACCCAAGTCGTTCCAAACCCGTAAGACCTTCGTTCACCTTCAGAACACGAATTAAGATTTTTTTTTATCTTTCTGACCCTGCATAGACAGCAACGGATCGGACACATTCAAGGCCCAGAAAGGTAGTCAGGACATTGTTAAAATAGTCCATGTGACATCAATGGTTCAACCCTAATGTTATGAAGCTACGAGAATACTTTTTGCTGCTTTGTTTACGTTTTGTATATCTGCGTATATCTCTTATATCCTTGTTTCCATTTCTTCTTTTTAGAGATGCACCCGATACTGGGCTCTTGTACTCGTACTCGTTAAAATGCCAAACGTCGATACCACACAGCATGTGATAAGTGCCATATTCAGACAAAGAAACACCGACAACAGAACAACAGACAGCAGAATGGAGTTATAAGAGATTAAGGATGTCTATGAAGTATATGTATGCAATGAATATAAAGTTAAACATTCAGTATTAATGCCTGTATAGCTGATGTGCGCGAGCTGATAAGCAAATCTGAGTGGATTGTGCGCGCGGCGGCGCAGATGCGCGAGCTTGTCGTGTGAATATACCTTTCTCACAGACATCACTGGAAAGTTTGTAGTTCGGTCGGATGTGTCAAAAACAAGTAAGTAAAACAATGCACAAGCTACTTAACGGTAGGGAGGGAGAGAGAGAGAGAGAGAGAGAGCGAGAGAGAGAGCGCAATTCTGTTGTGTGATCTTTGATGTTCACTCACTTAGCACACGCATCATTTGGATTAAAACTAAATCGTAAAAATAAGACCATTTGCCTACTACTTGTCCGTCTCATTCTGCACCAGTACAAATACGTGCACGTGTTGCTTGCTTGAGTGTTTCTGCATTATATGAGTGGCTTTGGAATATAAATCGCAGCACGTTTCAGATGAAAGCGTCACACCACGTGAAAGTGAAACTGAGCGGTGAACTAATTTTCGGCAGCCGAAATTTCGGTGCATCTCTAATTATTGGCGACATCAGAAATGGATATTATATAATAGATGCTTTTTTGAACATTTTAGCAATTTAAAAATATTAAAAAATGATTTTTTTACACGGCACCCCTGCTCTCGACAGACGGCACCCCAGGGTGCGTTGGGAAACACTGTTCTAAACTATAGCGAATAAACTGTTATAATGTGAGAAATGTTGAAGGTGTCTGAATAATTTTTTTTTTTACTGTATCTATTTGATAAATTAAGTTAACAAACTGACATTATACATACTCTTTTGGTTTCTGTACCCAATATTTAAAAAATGTACAAATGCAATAAAAATATCGGTATCGGTACTCGGTATCGGCAAGTACCAAAAATAAAAGTATCGGTATCAGGCGAGTACTGGAAAAAGTGGTATCGGTGCATCCCTACTTCTTTTTAATGACGAATATATAATATTGATAGCTGCTAATATAGACAGCTATTTCCTCTGACGCAGGCGCAAAACAAACACGTGTTAGTTTGCAGTCAGCTGTAGTCTGTGCGGTTTGTTCAAGTGCCGATTTTGGTCCAGACGCTGCCAACGCGAGGCGACAACACCGTCGGCTTTCATCGCCTCTAGTTCTTTTAAGTCGGCTTGGTGTGTCCTGGCCTTTAGTTCATCGTCTGTATATTCTGGTTCAAATAAGTAAGGCTGGGCAAAAAATTGCAAGTGATCCTCTCTATCGAAATCTTCAGAAAAGTTAATAAGACTGTTTTATGTACAGCGTGTGTTTTTTTCTGCTTGTAAACACAGCAAAGTGCATTCTGGTTCTACTACAGAAAGCTGGCTCTTGTGTCGGTCGCTCCACGCGCATGTGTCGTGGTACTCCTGTGAATGTGCATCGAAGACTGACAAGGAAGAGAAAAAATAGTTGAATTATTTTTGTTTTCTTTGCACACAAAATGTATTCTCATAGCTTCACAACATTGCAGTTGAACCACTGATGTCACATGTCCTGACTACTTTTCTGGGCCATAAAACGTTTCAGTTGCTGCAGGGTCAGAAAGCTCTCGGGATTTCATCAAAAATATCTTAATTTGTGTTCTGAAGATGAACAAAGGTCTTATGGGTTTGGAACAACATGAGGGTGAGTAATTAATGACAGAATTTTAATTTTTAGGTGAACAATCCCTTTAAGAAATAAACTGTGTTTTTGTGAAGAATCATCTGAATGGTTTACTGTCACACGAGATGAAGACTGTACTCCTTTTTTTTTTCTTCTAAAAGAAGGTTTTTAATTAGATGTATTTCGGCATGTTGAAATGACGTTAAATGCAGTGTTTCACTAAACGCTAGAGAGAATTCTTACTCTCATTGGCTGCTGCCCCTGTAGTAGTGTAGTTTTTTTTTTTTTTGGTGATGCAAAGACCAAAAATTAGACAGTGGAACACACTTATTACCAAGATTTACCAGCAAAGACAACATTGGCAAGGCAAACACGAGGTGGAAAGATATAATGAAGGAGAAAATCCTGAGTAGTAGTGATGACAAAGTTGCTTCTTTTTTTGTTGGACAGCTTAGGGAATTAATTATTCTATAGACTGCTCTCTAAAACTCAAGTATCAATGTCATTTACATAAAACTCAGAGACAATTATGCTGAGCCATGTCGACTGAAATGACACAAAACACAGTAATGTTAATGCAAGCTAAAAAATTACTGAATGCACCTTCAATCAAATTCTTCAAAAATGTATTTCAAGGAAAAATACTCCCTTTATATATAAATTCATATATAACGTGGATGTTTCAGGGCACATTATCAGAAAAATAAGGTATTTTAAATACAGTTTTACAAGGTAGCATATTACCACTTTAAGTTTTAATATAAGTAACATACTGTTAAGGTACTAATGAGCAACATTTAGGAGTAGATGATGTACAAAAATATACCTTTGAGGATAGGCTCCTTCCCCAGTGACAAACAATTTTACCATTTTTTTCTGACAGTTTACCAACAAAGAGGCAAAGATTTACCTCAGGTTTCAAGCAGCAATTGCACAACAATTTTAGCACACAAACTTTTACCAAAAGGCTTTAACCAAAAAAAAGTACATATACAAATTCTGTCAAGTTCTTTTCCTACACATACAGTACCCTAAGAAACCTGTCCTGCATTTGAATGAACATCTGAGGAGAGTTACTCTTGCATAAGCCCTTCTTATTGCCTTTTATGTGAGGCCATACTTCAGGAGAGAGCTCTTATTGATAATGCGGACTGGCAGGGAGAAAAAAAGGGGGGAAACTTTGGGTTGGTGCTCCGTTAGCACCAGTCATACTTATAACTGACTGTATGTGGTATGGAAAATATTAAAAATCAATCAGAAGTAGCAGAAAACCAAATAAAAGGCTGCATAACTACAAGAACTGATCTGTAAGCTGGAGTCAAGACACTAATGAAATGGATTTGATTCAATGATTTGTAATCAGGAATGAGATGATACTATACCAATGACCACATGCATGTCCAGGCTGGCTAGATGTCTGGAAATCTCATATCCCATTCCTCTGGCTCCCCCTGTAACTATGGCAACCTTTCCATTCTGCTTGGGCAAATCTGGGCAAGACAGGAAATTATGAAAAAATTTGAAAATTGTGATTTTTTTTGTTGTTGTAATATCTAAAAAAAAAAAAGATGTTTTACACTGACAAGGATTGTCTTTGTTTGGGACATATCCTGTCATCCCTCTGTGAGTGTTCTTGGATGTGCCATGGTCTCAGGGATCATTAAATGTGGAAACGGCATCCTACACTGATGAAAACAGCATAACCTGCTTTTGTGATAAACCTACTAATGATGCTATTCCTTCACTCTTTTGCTTTATGGGTACTTATTATTATTAATTTTGTTGAAACACTTGTGTTTTCAAGCAGAGAAATTATGACAATCATCACTGATAAGCAATGTTACTTTTTGTTGCCATTTCCATGTTAAAATGTCCAGTTAAAATTAGTTAATTGCAAAGCTTACATTTTTCAGAACATAGTCCAATAGTGCAAACAAGTCTTAAAATCAGTGTTTTTTAATCATCTCCTTTTTTTTTCTTCTTTCTTTCTTTTTTATAGCTAATCCGGTCAGGCTTCAGAAGATTTAAATATTTCTGATACAAAAGACCATTGTTAGGATGGATTTGAGTCTAATCCTTTTGCTTTGCGCTAGGACATGGTTGCACTTTAACAGTGATTTAAATTTAAATAAAGAGACGTCTACAATTGCAATGGAACAATCTTAAGTAGAAACATGTGATTAGTTTGTGATAATGCATGCATCACTGAATCTCTGGCAACACTCTAAATTACCCAAAGTATTCTATAAATTAAATTACATATTCTTTAATAAATGGGCATAAGTATGTAGACTATAATTTAAATCCAGCATTTCAGCCAGAGGCTAATAAACTTATAAGACATTTCAAACAAATACATTATAAATACAGTACATTTCTAACTATTTAAGTGAACATCAACATCAACCCATATTATGTAATCACTTTTAATGAAATGTATTATAAAGTGTCTATAAAAAGACCTCAGCTTTGGAGTAAACAGGTCAAAGGTTACAGTCGGCTATGTTTAGATAACAAATGAGAAACATGTTTAAACTATTTCTTTTAGGATTATGCATAATAACAGCCAAGTTAGCAGCCATAATATGCAAACTCATAAACTGTTTCAATATCAGAAAGTATGTTAAAAAAAAGTAGACAAAAAATAAAAACACTGTAAACGGTAATAATTTATCTCTAATCTCTCATATCTTTTACTGACATTTTTGTTTGTTTATTTTTTACAGTAGAATATAAATAACAGTCTCCTTTCATTAACTTACACCTTTCACCATACAATATAAGTGAGCGGGCACTGATTGTGTTACTCTGCCGCGCAACTAATTTCGTTTATCGGGGAAAAAAAAAACATACTGTTTCGGAAGAACATGAACGTGAGCAAATAAATGCAGAATTTTTGTTTTCGCGTGAACTGTCCCTTTAAGCGCACTTCTCACAAAGCGATTCTAAACGTCCCCAATCTACACCTGACAGCTCCTAACTACTGAATAACTGTTTGAGCTGCTGTTCGACAATAAAACAAGCGCCCGTCAGGTCACTACAAATCCGTGACCATAAAAACCTCTAACCTGGCAGGATGAAGGATCTGTTGAAAAGCTGGTATAGAAGAACTTTGACGCCGTCTAAGTAGAGTCTGACGAAGCCGAGGATACAAGGCAAAAGCCACCACATGTTTGAAGATGACAGCGAGTGTCTCAGTATTTACGCTCCGTGCTGAAGTACAGCAGGGTTATCAGCTGTTTGTTCGATAGCTCCGCTTTCTACGTCAATCACCGTAGACACACTAGAGAGTCTGGATGCAGATTTACGGGGAGTAACCACTACCAAGAAAGGGCGAAACAAATGTAGCTGAAGAAGATTACCAACAAACTTTTAAGAAAAGTAAATAGTGCAGTCTACGGAAGCCCATTTCCACCACGGAATAAAGCGTCTCTCAGTTCTGTCTTTTTTTTTCATCGCAGTTCTGAGAAAACAGCAAGTTTATATCGCTGACTTTTTTTTTCAGTTCTGAGAAAACGCAGTTCTGAGAAAACAGCAAGTTTATATCGCTGATTTTTTTTCCTCAAAACTGCGAGAAACAAAGTCTGAATTGTTTAATAAAAAATTTAAATTGACTTTTTTATTTTGTATTCTGTGGTGGAAAGGGCTCCATACAGTGTAGTTAAAGGGATAGTTCACCCAAAAAAAATCAGTTAATGTAAGTGAAGTGACGTGGCCAAGTATGGTGACCCATATTTGGAATTTGTGCTCTGCATTTCACCCATCCAAGTGCACACACGCCGTGAACACACACCGGGAGCAGTGGGTAGCCATGTGCTGCGGCGCCTGGGGAACAGTTGGGGGTTTGGTGCCTTGCTCAAGGGACTCTCACCTCAGTCGTGGTATTGAAGGTGGAAGAGAGCACTGGCTAATCACTCCCCCCAGCAACAATCCCTGCCGGACCTGAGACTCGAACCCGCGACCTTCGGGATACAAGTCCGACTCTAGCATAACATAGTGTAGCATAAATAAATAATAATAAAAATAAATACTATGACACACAATGGGTACAAGAAACTGTTTGATTACTCACATTCTTCAAAATATTGTGAAGAAATTCACAACTTGAGTGAGTGAATGATGACAAAAATTTAAATTTTTAGGTGAACTATCCCTTTAAGAGATAGCCTACCCTCAATAAAAAGAGAGATTTTAGTGGCCAGTGCAGATCTAATAACTAGAGAGCTAGCCAACATAATGCAGATAGATACCCTATAATAAAATTTCATGATAGGAAATAAGATAAAACTGCTAAATTTAACTGAACTGTTTTTTTTAACAATATTTACTCAAAGTTCACAATTTATTTGCACTATTTTTAAATGTAACTAGGTGGAATAACCTTCCATGTGTGTGTGTGTGTGTGTGTGTGTGTGTGTGTGTGTGTCTGTGTGTGTGGGGGGCATTGTCAGGTTAGATTTTATGATGACCTTAATCGGCCAGTTGGGTACAGTTATCAGCCGATGCAGATTAAATATTGATAGACTGATAGATCAAAATCTCTTATATGTTATGCAATGTTATTTTATGATGTATGATGCAAATGGGTGATATAGGCCATTCTGTACGAGTATGCTTTTTATCACCTTCCAGCCCATTTCCCCCCTGTAAATTTCAGTTTATTTTATTTAATATAATTTTTTTCCCCCTACATTTTGTAAACTGGGGAGACCCTCAAATTTAGCAGTTTACTTTAGATTCTTCTCTAAATAAGTAAAACTCCAGTACTGAGGACCCACCTACCTGAATGTTTTAGATATCTCCCTAATTAAAACACCTGATTCAACTCATCAGCTTTTTAATGTGTTAATAACAAGACCTCTTAAAACATTCTGGGAAAACTAGAGCTGGGATATAGATGCGACAGATGTTCTCGCGCCATTGAATTACACAACACAAGATGTGCTTTTGGAACATTCTCAAATCTTGCTGGATAACATGGATCATCAGGTTTACTTGTGGAGATGCCAAATCACCAGCTTAAGTTCTGCTGTCAATTACCAAGACATTTTGAAATTCATGTTTATTTTTCAGTTAAAACTGTCACTTGAATTGTTATGCTGACAATAATTTGTCATGAAAATAGTTATATTAGAGAAATGCAAGATAGAAGCATTTCCCTTATTGGTCTTCCTCTGTCTCTCTCCCTATATATACAGTGGGTACGGAAAGTATTCAGACCCCCTTCAATTTTTCACTCTTTGTTATATTGCAGCCATTTGCTAAAATCATTTAAGTTATTTTTTTTTCCTCATTAATGTACACACAGCACCCCATATTGACAGAAAAACACAGAATCGTTGACATTTTTGCAGATTTATTAAAAGAGAAAAACTGAAATATCACATGGCTTTTATATATATATATATGAATAATCTCTGGCTGTTATACTCTATATTCTTGGCACCAGCAGTTTTTTTCTGTTGGGAGCAAACAGGTATTTATGTAGCCTACTGTCATACAAGGGGGATGTGTGCCATGAAAACCCCTGAAGAGAGAGAAACGCAAACCTGGAGCTCAGCTTTGGTGCAGTGACAGCAGGTTGTGGAGAATCCTTGATGTTCGACTAGTACTATGTAAACAGACATTTTCTACTGGAAGTGCTCTCAGGCCTTATAAGTAGGGATTTTGTCTGAGAAAAGAGGCTGAATGTCTTAGATTGTGGAAACTGAGCAATTTAAACATGGACCTGTTACTGAATTTTTATAATGTTTGAGAATTCAGGGGGAAAAAAGGAAAATGTTGGACATGGGTCAAAGAGGCTGAGGTGTGACAAAATGACAACTTTGTTTTCCACATCGGCACTCAGGATTTGTCCTCAAAGGTTAAATCCATGCCACTTATCAAAAACTAATAATTACGTGCCATTGTGACCTGAGGAACTTCTGCCTTGCTTCCTCTTCTTGTCTTCATCTCTTTTAGCAGGCATGTTTCTTTATCCTTTCAGGGCCAGGGAGGTTGCTTCCCCTGAGCATGTTCTAATACTGACCTGAATCCCTACTCACACTCGTTCTTTCCAGAAGTGCTAAGCCTCCAGACAAACAAGCACTCACGCATAAACTCGATCTTCTCTCTCTCTCTTTTCCTCTTACTCTGGATGCTGGATAGCAAAACAGCTGTTGTATTTCCCCCTTCAGAGTTTGTTTGTATCTGCAGACTCCTTGTCAGAATGCATTCAGAACAACAGCACTTTTAACCTGGGAGCTCCAACCCTCCCCCATCTCTCACTCTACCGCTTCTTATTTTCTCTCTCTCTCTCCGGTTCCACTGTTCCAAGAACAGTTGTGTAATTTGTTACATATGTGCACATGGAGTGTAGTTGGCATTCAGAGCATGAGCGAAAATTCTGTCATTATTTACTCACCCTCATGTCATCCAAACACAGTACTTTCGTAACCAAAACTTAGAAGATCAAAAAAGATCATAAAGGCATCATAAAATGAATCCACATGAATCAGGGGGGTTACGTTTTGTGAAGATCTAGGATTGCTTTGATGACAATATTTAATTTAGGCTTTTATTTACATCTAAACAATGATCAAAAAACATCACATATGGTAAACACAGAAGCTCAAATGTGAGTGGATTCATATGGATTCATTTTACAATGCCTTTATGATTATTTTGGATCTTCTAAGTTTTGGTTACATGGCTTTTTAATGGAGGGACAGAAACCTCTCAGGTTTTAGTTCAAATATTGTAATTTGTGTTTTGAAGATTAACCAAAGTCTTACAGTTTCGGAATGACATAAGTTTGAGTAAATTATGGCAGAATTTCCATATTTTACTTACATTAATAATAATGTAATTAATCAATTTGGCATTAGGACTTATTTCATATCACCTCTCAGCTTCATACTGTTATTGATAGTGGTTTTAAGGCATGAATATAATGGGTAGCTGTGTTACAATTTAATAATATATCATTTATTGTTCTGTCCTCAACACAATCATTGCAAAATATGTATGTACAGTATGTCCGTATGCATGTATTTATTTAAAAAACAGTTATATGAATGGAGCTGTGGTCATTTTGTAAAGAATACAATGATACAAGAACCAATTTGGTGTATATATATATATATATATATATATATATATAGCCTATATATGCAGCGGGTAAAATAAGTATTGAACACATCACCATTTTTCTCAGTAAATATATTTCTAAAGGTGCTGATACATACAAAGAAAACAATACAAATAAGTTCAGAAATTAAGTTCTGTGTAATAAAATGGAATGACCCAGGGAAAAAGTATTGAACACACTTACTGAAATGTATTTAATACTTCGTACAAAAGCCTTTGTTGATAATGACAGCTTCAAGATGCCTCCTGTATGGAGAAACTAGTCGTATGCATTGCTCAGGTGTGATTTTGGCCCATTCTTCCACGCAAACAGTCTTCAAATCTTGAAGGTTCCATGGGCCTCTTCTATGAACTCTAAGGCTCCGTTCACACTACAAGCGTGAACTATTTATAACTAAATAGTTCTATTTATGGCGTACTGACACAAAGTTCAAATGATTTTAAACGGTCGCTTTGTCGCGTCCAGTGTAGACTAAAGCCCCGTTCACACTACAAGCGACAAAGCGACACGATCCCATTAATTTCAGTGGAGAGCTGGCGATTTCCTGCAACAAGCGAGACGGTGACCGTTGGCAACGGATGGGGCGTGTCCAGCGACGCGACAAAGTTCAGAATCCTTCAATTTTATGCAAATGAAGAGCGACTTTTGGGTGCGACAGCCAATAGGGAAGAAGATGGCAGAGTGCATGTGATCGTTCTCCTCTCAGCCATAGATAAACATACACAATGGAAAAAAACTAGGCTCTGTTTCTCATTCATTTTTGTTTGTATGTACGGATTTAATTCATATTTATATTATATTTAGTCCTTTTGCCTCCAAAATGTTTGTATTTAACGACAAACGACAAAGTCGCTGCTAGTGTGAACATGCCGTAACTTTAGCTGTTGCGGCGCGGCGTGACAACTGTCGCGTTCGGTGTAGACACAGTGTAATAGATTTTCTATTGGATTCAAGTCATGTGATTGGCTGGGCCATTCTAGCAGCTTAAAGCCTCGTACACACCGGGATGATTATTGCGTGCGCTTATTGCCGACGTTTTTCGACGCGTCTTTTGTGTTCATACCCAAGCGATTTTCGCTGGCGATGAGTCGAGTGAACGTGCAAATTCATTCCCTGACATTAGATGG